GGCCGTCGCTCTACAGATACTCTATCTGTCTTCTCGGCGGCTGGTCGGGACTCCATGTCACACCGTCCTGAAATTCCGGATGCAGATGGTTTCAAAACCGCCGAGTAAGCCTTGTAGAATTGCCATTTATGAAAATACCCCACTATCTGTGTCTTCTTGAACTGTCGTCTCAGATCTTTCCAATTTCTTTCGATTTTTGGCTGTTTTGTTGAAGCTCTATTCAGCGACGTCCCATTTCCATTTCCATTTCCATTTCCTTTTGTTTTTGTCTTTTTGTTGCGTTGGATATACCCGATTTTGGCAGTCAACCTAGTTTTGAGTCTATACCCCAAATGAGAAGGATGCCGAGAACATAAATAGCCAGTAGCCAGCCACCGGATGATGCAAGTCTAGTACAATAATATACAATGTTTATAAATCTACGTCTAGGCAAGCTGAATTGACCTTCAGTGCCAATCAAGACCAATCTTCCGAGCTACCTGCTCAGCAACACCAAGGAAAGCCTCCCGCCTCGCACTGCGCTCAACACTCTCCTCCGCAACAACCGTCGGCATCCCACGATCAGCATCCTCGCAGACCCGAGCATCAAGAGGGATGTCACCAAGGAAGTCTACTCCGAGTCGCTTGCACTCAGCCACGACACCGTGGTTCTCGCCGTGCGCCTGCTGGTGGCTATTACCATGCGAGAATATGCGAGTCTGAGTCCCGCACTGTGGACACGCGAAATATGCCATGTTGCGCACCATTCCGAGCACGGGTACTTCCATTCGCTGGAACATCCCGATGCCACGCACTGCGTCGCGGAGTGCGATGTCCTGCGGCGTTGATACAACCACTGCCCCGTCGATGATGACTTCTTGGTTGATTGTGAGTTGCACATCGCCGGTTCCGGGGGGTAGGTCGAGGATTAGGACGTCCAATGGGCCCCATGATACTGAGTGGAGGAGTTGATGCATGGCTTTGGTTACCATTAGCCCGCGCCAGGAGATTGGTGTGGTGTCCATGGGTAGTTCGCCGGTTGCGCTGTCGGCTTGTGTTTGGGGGAGGAGGTAGCCCATTGACATCGATTTGAGGCCATAGTTTGTTAAAGGGACGAGGCAGTTGTCTGGCAATGTTAATAAGCATTTGATTATGGCTGCGATGGTGATAAGCTTAGGAAGGGAGACTCACTTTCATCGAGGCGAGGCTCGCCGGAGAGATTTAGGAGGGTAGGGATAGAAGGACCGAAGATATCGGTGTCAAGAATTCCAGTCTTGATACCACGGCGTGCGAATGATAGTGCGAGATTGACTGATAAGATCTCTTTAGCGATCTTTTCATTCCACTTTTGCTTATAGGCCTTGTGCTATGGCATAGAGGAACGAAGAATATCAACATACCAGCTATCGTAGACTTTCCAACTCCTCCCTTTGCTGACGAGACCGCAACAACTTTCTTGACATCTCGAATCTTGCGCTTTTCAGGGAGCCCTCGGCGCGAACGGAAAGTTGGCGGGGTACCAGACCGTGGAAGTCCCTGATTACAGTCAGTCAATGCAAGCCAAAATAGGCATCCTCGCAATAGAAATGTTTTATTTGAAACGATTAGTGACCCGAGAGAAGCTGCGTAATGTCGAGTAACAACTAACCAAAGGATTGTCATGCTGAAGAGCTCGACACGTGGAAAAAAGCCTCGTGCCTCTGACAATAGTGCCAGATGGAGAAATCAACATCTTGACAGGCCAAATAAGGCAGACGAGAAGGAAAAATGTAAGACCGGATAATCTGTGAGCAACAGAAAGTCGTTCTAAGATGCAGTGCAAGATATCCACTATACTGCCAGTAAAAGGACCGACCGCCTTTAGTAATTGAAGCTCCCACGCTGTATACCGCCCACGTGAAAGTATACCTCCAGCGGACGCTAAACCTAGAAAGGAGTAATAATCCGTTATCCGGAAAAACCAATAAAAAAAGTCGCTCGTCAACTCTCTTCTCTCGCATACCAAACACCATGGGCAAACCACGCGCAGCTCGTTCGTTAGCTGAGCAGCTTGCTGATTTTGAAGATCCTACTCCTAAAGGTATGCATGAATGATGCATCAACAGATTCTCTTGGGTAGTAGACATTCAATACTTACTTCGCGTTTAGATTTTGATCCCGAGGATATCGATAATGGCCAACAATCAAGTGATGACGAAGGTGAAGATGAAGGAGGAGTGACTACAGGCAGAGAGCATTATGAGACTGTTGGGTATGTAAAAACAGATGTATTTGGTATCAACAACTCGCTAATAATCAAACAGGAAAGCAAAGCTCCGCAAAGATGACCCCCTCCCCCTGGGGAAACAATATGATGGTGCCCGAGTCAGCCGGGCAGCGCTAGGCGCTGAAAGTGATGAAGATGACGAGGATTCAGACATCTCGTCCGGCTCCGAAGAATTTGCCAGCGGCGACGATGCCCTGACCCAGGAGAGTTCCGACGAGGACACAGACGGAGGCGAGGATGAGGTTGATGAAGAGAGCGAAGAGGGTGATGAGGATGAAAGCGAGCATGCCGACGAGGTAGTGCACCAGCACGCCAAGAAGACCCGCCAAGATGTCCGACATGGCGATACAAGCGGACCGTCCGGTGACCGCGACGAGATTCGCAAACTAATGGCGACTGATCAGAAGACTATTGCGGCGACAATCTCCTCGGCAGCCAAGGCCGATGCTACGAAGGGAAAGGCTGTCAAGCAACAACGTACCACATTTGATGCGCTCCTTAACGCGCGGATGAAGCTTCAGAGTGGTTTGACGTCTATTAACGGTATTGCTGCCGTCTTCGGTTCGAAGAATGAAGCAAATGGAGAGGACGCGATGAAGGACGAAGAGGAAGTTGTTGATGAGGAAGCAATTAAGTCGGCGGAGACAGCTGCGCTGGCATTATGGTCGACTCTCGAAGGTTTACGTACTGCCCTGGCCGATGCTACTGCCAAAGAAGGCAGCAAAAAGCGCAAGCGACCTTCCCCCGCCTCGCCTACTACTAGCTCCGCCTCGCTATGGGAACGCATGGCTGAATTGGAGTCCGAGTCCATTTCGCACCGTCGTTCCATTCTCGACAAGTGGTCCTCGAAAGTCCGTGGCACTTCTGCATCTATCCCCAATGCCAGAGGCAAACTGCTCGGTTCTACCTCCGGTCGCCAACAGACCATCACAGCCGTCCTCGATGCCCAAGTCGCCACAGAGATTGGAGAACGATCCTCCAAGCGTTCGCGCACGTCTGACCAACAAGAACCTCTCTACGATGATGGAGCGTTCTACCAGTCCCTTTTGCGCGATCTCGTTGAGCAGCGTATGTCAGCCGATTCCGTAACCAGTGCATTTGACAACCTGCACCAGCTGCCCTCACGCCTGCCCATCCACCCCATCACTGGCATGCGCAACGATAAGGTGAAGCGAGACGTTGATACCCGTGCTTCCAAGGGCCGCAAGATGAAGTACAACGTGCATGAAAAGCTTCAAAACTTCATGGCCCCTGAGGACCGTGGTTCCTGGTCTACGCGCGCACGAGATGAGTTCTTTGCTTCTTTGCTCGGCAAAACGGCTAGTGGTTTGCTTGGTGAAGGCGATGAGGGTGCCAGTGATGAAGAGGATGATGTTGATCGGGAGGAAGGTGGGTTGAGACTGTTCCGGAACTAGGCTCGCCCTAAATTTACAATCGCATACTTGTACAAATAGTGGATATGGCCATAAAATTAAAAGGCAACCCCTTGGTGCATTATCATACAAAGATCCCTTCCTGCAGTCTATATAAAGAGTACTGCGGTTCGCACCTGCTCACATGTACAGGCTCAGCCCAATGTACAAGGAGGGAATGCAATGCTCTGTCAATACTGCATATTCAGACTGCACTTGACATTTTATTTCTTCTCTCATCTTCTCGGGGTGTATACAGCGGTAGTGGTAGTTCCTCGTTCACAGTTTCCGTAGTCCCTGATGTTCCCTGGTGCCACTCGAACCTTGTCGTTCGTGGTAGTCCTAGCATCTTCTCGCGCACTGCTTGCTGCAGTCGATGTTGTCGCTCTACCTCTTCCTCTGGTGATAGGAATTGAGGTTCGCCATATTCGTTTATGATAACGGGGCCGCTTACGTCGTTGTAAGAAGGAGGAGATGCGCTTGAAAGTGGAACTGGTGCGCTCTTGTGCTCTTTGGTCGGGGAATTTGAGCTTTGCATGATGGGTATATAGTAGTGTTTCCTCGATCCGTCGGAATTTAGGAGATCGGATTTCAGTAGACTTCCTGGGACCAGCCCGAGGAATAGCCCGAGGATTGCGTTCATGTTGAAGAAAAAGAGATTGGAGGCCAAAACGAAATGCCTGTCACGCGCGTCGATTCGAATGTCCGGGGCAATGACGATCCGCCACTAGCGCGAGGTTGATTTTGCGGGGGTGAGACACCGTGAACTTCGAACTCGGAGTGTTTCAGAGGATATTGAGTGATTCTTGTTCAGTACTTTGTCAATGATTTGAGAATAGTACACAGGATCGAAGAAAACGAACTGACTTTAAATGGATTTGAATGGAGAAAGGGGTGGGGTGCGACTACGTACGACAGTCCCCCTGAGATTGAGATCTTCCCCTTGCCACACCCCTTTGGTATACAACCAGTCTTGGAGGAATTTCAATTCTGGGTATTTTTTACTGAATAGACTGGTCATTGGTCTTCGAATTACCGTTTTATTTCCTTTAATCCATATTCTCGTCAACCTCTTGCCACTGGGCGCGTAACGTCTGGATTAACGAATCCATATTCCAACCAGTCCTTGCATGCATGGCTTGCAATAGTGACTCCGCTGCCCTTTGGTCGAGACGATGTCGAAGGACCCAGCCCCCTGCCAAGTCAGTTCAATACGTATCAGAAATTGACATTTGCAACTCACAGGCGACTAGACTGTGACGTGCAGTAAATAACGTGTTCTCGGCCTTTGCGTTGGACTGCGCCAATCCGAGGATCGTGAGCAGATGGTGACGTACGTCCTTCTAAATCCATTGTGAGCGACGACCGAAAGATGTTGGTGTCCAACGAACCTCGACTGTCCGAGAATGCCGCAAGCTCTGATAGGTAGAAGATGCCCGTGGAGACTGGGAAAGCGCTAACACAATCTTGGCAATATGGTAGTATTGAATGCCAATAACTGCTCAGGCATTTGAGCCAATGTCAGTCTCGAGTCTGTTATTCGTACATGTTACGGGGGCCATTCACCATGCACGGGTAGCAGCATCCAAATGGTAGGGAGTCGTTGATCTGGCCCGGGGCCTCGTGGGACCGATCGAACTGGGTCGAAGGTGTGCGGTTTAGCAGCATACCACTCTTCGATCTGGTCTGTGCTACGTGCTATAGTAGAGTCCGTGAAAGCACCCTGGAGAACGTTAGCAAGTAAGAAGACCATTCTGCTTGACCAGGCAAAGTCATCATTTCTTTGAAACACATCTGAGTGGTCGAAGCTCTGTACGTTGGTCCGCAGAGGCCGTTGGCTGGTTAACGAGATATAAATATCCTGCCGCAAACAAAGCCAAGCAGCAGCTTCGCCCAAGCCACCAGAAGAGCCAAAGGTTGACACTGTATTTAGAATATGAGTTGTGCCAGTGAGATGGAATTGGTTGTCCTCCCCTGGAATGTGTGAGCATTTATTTGATGCTATTTGTCCGCAATGACTGACCATCCATTTCCTCATGTTGACGGAGTATAGCGACTGCAGCTAGTATATCCTCGGTGATGTGATCACGAGGCCCAGAAAGCGCTGGAATAAGCAGTTGAACACAACAATTATGGTACTGCAGTGCCTCTGTTACATCGCTGTTGTCGTGCCGGTCAAGATGGCGGGAGGAAAATGCAAAAATTGCATATCGTAAAACAGGCTCTTTCAATGCCCGGGCTGAAACCTCTGTTTCAAAATGACGCTGGGGGTCCGTGATATCAGCCTGTTCTAATCAGTGACTGTAGGTGGGTATGTTCGGCATACACGTACCCAGAGCGCCATATTCTCAACGAAGTTCCTCAACAAGATGGCTTCTCGTTCGCTTAGCGGCTGCAAAGGGTGGCACGTTCTTGATTGAATTGATCTTGGAGAAGACAATGATGGAAAGGATGGTGACACATTTTCTGCAGTGAAAGCTGGGAATTGGGCCAAGGCATTGCCTTCGTCGGCTCCATTAGCTGCATATGGTTGTTCCGCTAGCAGACCACTTGGGATATCGAGCTCCTCTATCAACTCTACCGGTAACCGGCCATCCTGAATGGTCGAGTACAGGCTAGCGATCTCTGGTGTTTCGTCATGGAAGCGCACTAGAAATGCATGGTTAGATTTAGATAATAGCAAACCATTAGTTCGTTCACCTTTGCCATGCAGTTGGGGCCAGCAGCTCTCTGAAAAGGCAAGCTCAGCTTCTTTGGGTAATGAGAGACCATTGCGAAACCGGATATTGGTCCTGTCACAATCCACGCCAGCTTGTTGGCAGTGCTCGCAAACAAGGTCATTGACATCGCCTACAATACTTGATCAGTGGTCCGTAGTTTTGTCGTTAAAATTCGGCGATCCTTACATTTTAGGTGTCGGACTGTGCAATTGTGTTTCAGCAACTTGCCCTGTACGTCCTTACCCCACAGTTGACTTACCACGACATCGTTGGCTGTGCAGGTCAATTAGCAGAGATCTTCATATATCCACTTTTAATATTGGCTAACCAACCAGCCAGCTACCAGGCGATTTCTTCTTGGAGACATCGAGCTTTCCAAGGAGACTTGCAAGGAAATTCTTTCCGTCCTCCCCATGGGGCTTGACCCAGGGAAATCGTTTAACCGGGGGGATGTGGGGAAGCCCAACCTTCCCATTTCGTTGTATCCAGCAATTCTTTCCATTCTCCATTCAACGTACAATTCTCTACTCTTTGTGACGGGGACTATTACCCTGAATTAAGACTAAAAGAAATATACTGATGAAGATGCAGATACAGCAGCTTCTTGCTCAACTATTTAAACCCTCTCGAAGACCCAGGAAACTGAGGGTTCAGAAAGACATCAATTATTCCCAACTCTCCTGTTAAATCCCTCCAAAACAATGACAGTTCAGAAACTACAAGTTGGCATGGCCGGCCTCGGTCGAGTTGGCAAGCTCCATGCCGTCAACTTCCTGCAAAAGACGCCCCGTGCACAGCTTGTTGCGGCATTTACCCCAGACACTGCTGAGATTGCATGGGGGAGAGTGAACCTGGAACCTCACGGGGTAACTATGTACACCAACTACGATGAGATGCTCAAGCATCCCGGTCTGCAGGCTGTTGCTATTGGTACGGCTACCTCGGTGCACGCAGAGGAGACAATCAAGGCTATCGAACAAGACCTGCACGTTCTCTGTGAGAAGCCTTTGTCTACCGATGTTGAAGTGGTACGAGTTTGTCCCTGTTTAAAATTATGACGAATGCTGATGAAAATCCCTTCAAAGTGCAGAGCGGTGGTCCAGGCTGCTAAGAAGAAGCCCCATCTGAAGGTGATGTGTGGCTTCTCCAGACGCTTCGATGATTCGTACCGTGATGCCTACGCCAAAATGGAGCAAGGGCTCATCGGACGGCCTGCCATTATCCGCAGCCAGACATGTGACAAATTTGATCCCTCGGGCTTCTACGTCGAATATGCAGCCTGGTCTGGTGGCGTGTTTGTCGATATGTCCGTGCACGACATTGACCTCAGTCTGTGGTTCTTTGGGGACGAAGTCCTCCCTAAGAGCATCTCTGCCCACGGTGTCACCGCAGTCCAACCAGAGCTGAAGAAGTACAATGACTATGACAATGCTGTGGGAATTGTGGAGTTCTGGAACGGCAAGATTGCCTACTATTACTGCTCGCGCATGATGGCCGCCGGCCAGGAGGACACCACTGAGATCATTGGCACCGAGGGCAAGTTGACAGTGAATGGCAACCCCCAGCGAAACTTTGTCAACTTGTACCACAACGGTGGCATTACTCGTGAGATTCCTTACAATTTCATGGGCCGGTTCAGCCCTGCCTTCGTCCAGGAGGCTAATGACTTCACCGCGGCCTGCTTGGATAACACGCCGCTTCCTATGAAGTTGACCAATGCTGTCAAGGCCGTTGAGATTGGTTCTTACCTCCAGGAGGCACTGGTGTCTGGGAAGCAGATTCATTTTGATGAAATTGGGCGACGAGTTGAAAAGGCTCAGCTGTAGGTACATATAGAAATGGGAATAAATGGATTTTATTATGTCTTACGGGTACAAGAGAATTTTTTTCTTTTCAGTCATTAGTTTTGCCCAATGTCAATTATTAGGACCTCCATGTCATAAGAAAAAAGAAAATGAGAAACATACCGCTTCTGGCTCGAACAGAGAATCATCTTTTCAACGGATTCGGGTTTGGTGGATTGCTGACAGTGCTGTTGCCTGCTCACCTTAACAAACAAGCCCTCAGCCATGAGGGGCAAGAACATCTTGTCTCCCCAAACTCGACATTGAACTACCTACAATTGCATTATTTCAATCATCAAGACCATGGCGTGTCTCGAGAGGTCTATATGTATGCGCTGTACGGCACGTTCCAGCTCGCGTTCGGTTTCGCCCTTGCTGGTTCTATCTCCACCATATTGATCAAAAGCTATAAGCTGAGATTGATTTTGAGAAGGAGAACACCGCACAAAACCAAAGTGATGGGGACCAGATATTTGATTTTACTATTGGATTTGCAATCACAGCTGAAGAAATTGAACTACTATATCTGTTTTTGTATCTAATTCTTAATTGAGCGTTGAGTATGTACTTTTCTTCTGGAGTACCCTTGCCCCAGGTGTGAACAGGATTGAATAACATAGTGTGGGGGTTCCCCAAATATGACGCAGGAAGATCGACAAGGAGCTCTGTACATGTTCAGCTTCTCATTTCTACAATATACTCCCATCCAGGCCTTGGATACTTCAAGATATATCTACGGAGTTGTTCATATTGCCTTCTATAATAATATACGCGCCCGGCGTTTCGCACACTTCAACCTCCGACACATGCACGCGTGGTCACCATTCTCAACATGCGATTTTATCTAGGATCACTGGGATTAGGCTCCCTCTATGCTTCAGTGCTCCCGTTTTACTTGATCCAAGAGTCGAATTCTGTAACGCATCACCCTGTTCTCCCACCGTCTTACCCGCTGGCAGTGCGCAACCCGTATCTATCAGTATGGATGCCCAGCGACCGAGTACAGCAGCTGCCCTATGCTGAACCCCAATTTTGGGCTGGCCAGGAGCTCGGCTGGTCCGTGATTGTCCGTGTGAATGGTCAAGCATATAGTCTGATGGGCGTGCCAGACGCGGACGCAAGTAATATCGGCCCAGCGACGATGCGTCGTGCCGAGTTTACTGCTACGCATTCAATATTTGATCTCACGGCTGGCCCGGTGGCAATCACGCTGGATTTCTTGTCGCCTGTGTCGCCGTCAAACTATCTTCGGCAGTCGCTTCCTTTTAGTGGGTTATATGCAATATATTATTATGGATTCGTTGAATTGACTAACAATGGCAGGTTATTTAACTGTACAGATATCTGAATCGCGTGGTCATGATATCCAGATTTATTCGGATATCGATGCCAGGTGGACTGGTCGAGCAAGTCACTCACAGCGCGACTTCGAAGAGCAAGACGGCCTGGCCATCTACTCGCTCGCAGTGGAAGACGCACCGCTGTATTCCGAGGCAGACGACATGGCTCTTTGGGGTTCAGCAATCCTGGCCTCTCGGTCTTCTAACTCCACTCAATTGTCCAGCCTCTCGGGAAGTGCCAAGGACGTACGAGGTCTGTTCGTTGAGGACGGTGAGCTATATGGCGAGGATGAGACCTGGGGCGCGGGAAGTGTTGTCGCGCTGGCCCACGACCTCGGTAAAGTCACTGGTGGTCTTTCTGTGAACTTTGTGGTCGGGTACGAGAGAGAAGCTGCCATCAACTATCTGGGAGAAGCGTACACAGGCTTTTATCGTGCAGAGTACCCGACCACATCGAGTGCCCTCTCATTCTTCTTGAATGACTATAGCAGCGCATTGCTAGAGTCCTTGAAGCTGGATCAGGAGCTGGTCACGTTATCTGCAGCCGCTGCGGGTCCCAAGTACGCGGATATCCTAGCTCTTTCGACTCGGCAAGCATACGGAGGCATCGACTTGGGTATTCCCAATGACACTCTCAGCACCGGTCAGGTTTTGGCTTTTATCAAGGAGCTTTCCAGTGATGGAAATATCAACACGATCGATGTGATCATGCCTGCCTTCCCAATTTATTACGTCATGGATCCGGATTACATCCGACTGTTGTTGGAGCCCGTGATGAAGTACCTTGCTGCTGGTCGCTGGCATTTGCCATATGTGATCCATGATCTTGGCACTCATTATCCCAATGCAATTGGTCACGATGACCAGAAAGCAGAGCCAATGCCCATTGAGGAGTGTGGAAATTTGCTTATCTTAGCTGCTGCGTATGTTCGAGCCACTGGCGATACCGACTGGACTTCGCAGTACATGGAGGTTTTCCAGAAGTATGCAGATTACTTGATGGACCATAGTGTTAATATTGCCAATCAACTATCGTCGAATGATGCAGCTGGACCTCTCGCCAACGAGACGAATTTGGCAATCAAGGCTGCAGTTGGCCTCAAGGCGTTTGGGGAGATGAGTGGAGATGGGTTCTACTCCCGTGTCGGTGAGCAGCATGCAAATATTTTCTTTCAGCAAGGCCTGGGAACAGACAAGGACCAGACGCATTTCGTTCTGGAATATCCTGGCTGGCCAGACACTTGGAAGACTCCGTACAATCTCTTTCCGGACGTATTGCTGGGTCTGGAGACATTCCCCGACGCTGCCTATCAAATGGGAAGTAACTTTTTCAAATCTGTTCGCGGCGAATATGGTGTCCCTCTCGATAATCGCCAGGACTGGGCCAAATCGGATTGGAATATGTGGCTGGCTGGTACCTTTGAGACGAGCACCAGGGACGAGTTCGTCGATGACTTGTGGTCGTTTATGACAAACGGAAAACACAACTGGCCTTTCTCTGATCGGTATATTGCGACTTCTGTGCAGGGAAATGAGCCAGGAGTTCCTATTTTGTGTCGAGCCCGTCCGACAGTCGGGGGACATTTTGCCTTGTTGGCATTGAAGGGGCCCCGATCCATTCAATCTTTATCATGTCAGCATGGAGCAGTGTTGGAACATGTGGGAAAGAAGCTGGATAGGCAGCAATATCTGTTTGGAAATCACACTAAAGAGCTTTGAACACGTTATAGTGTCATATCACCATCTGCGCTATAGAGTAGGATAGCTACATACCTGACAGTCGAGACAACTTGAGATAGGATTTAAGCTTCTTCAGTCTGTTTCTCACAGATTATATAAACGTACTTACTCCAGATGATCGGGCAAGAGGAGCCTGTCTCACTTCCAATGTTAGACTATAACAAGCTCAGGACGAGATTGTGCATCGTCTCGGGCCAATGTGAAGGAAAAAGCAAAAAGAAGCAATATCCCAGCAGCAGCAAGAGTAATACAATGTAGCCATATCAGTAAAACCAGTCAATTTAATCGATTCGATCATGTCAAAGGCCCCATGCATGAATATCAACAGTGTTGTTTGTGCTGTCTACCTATATGGGTGGTCCACCCGCCCGCCAGGGGCGGCTTACCTAATCTTCATGTCACGCTTGCTGCTTCATCGATGAGAAAGTGAATCTTCGACATCTTTTCCCCCTCAACACCACCTTCATCCTTTTCCTTGCTTCATTTCCCTTCTTTCTACCCTCCTTTATCTTCACCATACACTTCGTATCCTCCCATCCACATCTATCTAATTTCGACAACCCCATGGCTTCTGTAAGTGGCTCCTTAACCTTACCTCCCCTCGCATTTGCGCACCCCAGCTTCTAATCGCGATTAATACCATATCTTGAGGTCTTGGAGAGCTTGACTAATATGATCACTTCTTTCTCATTTATAGCCCCGCCCCAACTTCGGTGCTCAAGGCTACCCTATCCCGAATGGTGCGGCTGCGGGCCCTGTCCCCGGTGCCACGCCGCTTCTCCCAAACAATGGCCGAGTGATTCAGAGCGGTCCGACACGGATCTTGTGCATTGCAGACGTGCGAGGTAATTACATTCTGGCGATGCTTCTCTTGGCAAAGTGACCCAGTATTAATTGGACCCATAAATCAGGCAACTTGAAGTCTCTTAACGAGCTCGCGAAGCAGGCCCGCGCCGACCACATCATTCACACTGGTGACTTTGGTTTCTACGATGACACTTCCCTCGAGCGAATTGCGGACAAGTGAGTATTCTTCCGAAGCTTTTCGCCGCGTGTTTGCTGCCCAACACATTCGCCTCACCAGGCACCGGAATATACTGGACAGCATCAGCTAATCCCGGATCTACGAACAGGACATTGAAGCATGTGGCACAATATTCCCCCCTCCTCCCCGAGAACGTGAAACGGTCCATCGCACAGGTATCTCCCCAGCAGTCAATTAAGCAACGCTTCCCGCCCGAGCAATTGCCCCTCTCAGAGCTCTCTATGCTACTGGACAAACGCATTACCCTTGATGTCCCAGTTTACACAGTTTGGGGTGCCTGCGAAGATGTGCGCGTGCTGGAGAAGTTCCGCTCGGGTGAATACAAGGTAGATAAACTTCACATTATCGATGAAGCCAACTCGCGCCTTCTCGATATCGGCGGTGTGAAGCTCCGTCTGCTAGGTCTGGGGGGTGCCGTCGTGATGCATAAGCTATTCGACAATGGTGAAGGAAAGACGACTATTGCCGGCGGCCAAGGTACCATGTGGACCACACTTTTGCAGATGGGCGAACTCATTGACACTGCGAACCGTGTCTACGACCCCTCCGAGACTCGTGTCTTCGTCACTCACGCTTCCCCTGCCCGCGAGGGCATGCTGAACCAGCTTTCAGTTACACTCAAGGCCGATTTCTCCATTTCGGCTGGCCTTCATTTCCGTTACGGGTCCTCGTACAATGAGTTCTCCGTGAACCCGTCTTTGGACCACTATCGCGGCAAGCTTGCTGCCTCCAAGGCGTCATTCAACGATGTCTGGGAGACGGTCCGAATTGAGGTCGAGGCAGCTATCTCCTCTAACGATGGTCAGAAGACACTCCTAGAGAATGCCCTGGATGTTGTCCACAAGATGCCTTCCATTGCCAATGGCGGTAATCCGTTCGGCGGCCCCGTTGCTGCTGGTAATGCTGCTGGACAGGTCGACGAGAGCGCATTCAAGAATATGTGGAACTTCAACTTGGCGGACGCCGCGTTCGGATATCTCGTACTGGAGGTTGAAGGTGGACGCATTGCGACGGAGATGCGGGCTCAGGGATTCAACTTTGCACACCGCACTGGCAAACCCCAGGCAGGTGGTGCCCCTCAACCTGTCTCCAGCGGTCTCCCAGCGACCACTGCCTCACCCGCCCCGACAGGCGCTGCCCGAACCCCCGTCGTGGCTCCCCAGTTCGGCCAAGCCCCTCCCGCACGTGCACCTATTCCTCAGGGCCAGAAGGGACCAAGAGCCTCCCCTGTTCCCGTGATTCCTAAGACGATCAGTCCTCAGCCACCTGTCGCCGCCTCTGCTCAGCCCGCCGGGGAAGAAAAGACCGCAGCTTCCGACACTAACGGCACCGCCCCGCACGAAAAGCCAAGTGAATCGCCTGCACCTCGGACCGAGAAGAAGCCCTCAAATGCTCTTTTCGTAACAAGCGCCGAAAGCGAACTGGCTGTCCGTGACCTCATCTCTGAGGAGGACAGATCGAAGATTAGCAAGATCGAAAAGATCGGCAAGTACAACCACGTTGTGACATTCCCGGGCGCCGAAGAGGCCAAGGCGGCTATGGACCACCTGCCTATTGAGCTGAAGAAGTCCGGTCCCACTCCCCATGGTCAGCCACGAAAGCCCAACTTCAAGTTCTTTGAGGACCGCGGCGCCCGTGCTGCTGTCGGCAATGCCGGAACTTGGCAGTCCAGCAACCGGGGTGGCATCAATCCCGGCCAGCGTGCTGGGTACCAGAGCGCCAGTGACAGCGACGGTGGTCGCCGTGGTGGATTCGGTGGCCGCGGCCGCGGCGGCCGCGGCAGTGGCGAGCGAGGCCGTGGTGGTCGTGGAGGAGGTCGGGGTGGCTTCAAGAGCGGCTCAAATGACTCTTCTGCCCCCTCGGGCGACAAGCCTGTCGCACCCAGCGACGCCTGATCAGTGACATTGAAATTTCTGTCTCATATTTTTCCCCCGGCCATCGACGTTGCCTCGATCTTACACACCTGATACTCTAATTCTTTTGTGTCTCTTTTTATCTCGTCCCATTTGCAAATCTTCGTTTTGCGTTTTGACTATGATAGCGCTCAATCTTTTATGTTCTTTGTTCTCAAGTCCGGTCAGGGACAGGACATGAACCCGAATTGCAGCGTTGGTCTGGACTCCGAAGTGAGAGTCCTTCGGTGAGCTCCAGACAGTGTTCTCTTCTTTTTGTTTGCGGTGGGAGGAATGAATGCAGAGAACATCATCAGAAAAAAAAAGAGAAAAACCAGAATACACCTTTCACCTCTTTTCTCTTTGTACTTTAGTTTTATGTTCCGTGGACCACATCGATACCCTTACAGCTTTCTTCTGGAGTCTGTAGATCTACGAGATTGCTACTCCGTACTCATTCTCGCGTACAAGCCTTCCTATTATCGTATGCTCAATCTAGCTAGACTGGTAGAAATGAGTCAATTGACAGAGTAGGAGATCAATTGGACAGATTGTGTACAAAAAGGAAAGTACATTGAACATCGCAAAGCAGAGCCATCATGTCCCAACTGCAAAGGAAAGTAGTATATCAAGTTCGCCATATTCCCTTTCCGTACAATAGGCATCGGAAATGCCATCCAGTATTTGCTTAAATCCCATGACCAGTGTGAGACATTGGCCAAGCTCAATGTGCTGATCAAAAGAGAGAATGAAACAGTCAAATGGCAATTATTACTGTTGCGAGAAGGAGGAAAAATAAATAAAAAAAAAAAGATAAAGAGAGAAAAGAAGAAGGAATGTGTTGTCCCCTTGGGATGGGACATTTGCCACTGTGGATGTTGACAAAAAAGATCCGCTTTCAAAATCAAATATCCATTGAATTGGATGTTATTTCTCTCCTCCTATGAGTTTTTCCGGTTTATATCCTGTGTTGTATTCATGACGCCGAGCAGGATTCCTCCCATAAATGACAATCGACGATGGGTATGCGTAGAAATCAAAAGAGCGCAGGTATCAATGAGTTGGTGTTGGTCCGTGAATCGTGAATTAAGCCCGAGTATGAGTTGTGCAGAGGGCGGCAGTGATGGTGAGTGTCCTGGAAGCAACTCGCTACTTGGCTCGTCCCATAATGTCGTCAACGTCGTTCTGGTTCACGACTACACCACCCTCAGAACATCGTGCCTTAGTGCGAAGCTCAGAGCAGAGATTGTCAACATCGATCTCGCCATTGCGGAATCTTTCCATAGATTGAAGACGATCCCTAGAGAAAAAAATTAAGTCAGTAATCTAGAGGAAGATTAAATTGGCGAATACTTGAGCATAGACGTACCAGATTTTCGTGCATGACAGCATCTGCGATTGGTCTTCACCTGGAACGACCTCATCTTCCTCGACCCTGCTATCAATCCGGGCAATGAGGTTCTTCTTGGGGGCCGCGTCAGTGACGACCTCGGATAAGTTGTGAGAGGGACTACCCAGGTCCGGCAGAGGGAATGCTTCATTGAAGAAAGAGCCGAAATCCTGAGACAGGACAGCATCCTGGGGCTCGCGCCAGTCACCAAAGAGCACCGGGTCAAACTGGCCGCCATTCTGATGAGCCAACCAGTCAATCCCAAGATCCTGCGAACCCTGGCCCTCGGCTGGGCCATCAACTGGGGTTGGCTGGCCGCTTGAAACACTCTGGGACGTGGATCGGACCGCTGGGACGGGATTTCTGATGTTGCCGCAAGCCATACCAAGTTGTTCACAGAAGGATTTCTCGCCATCGGTGGTGACATGTCCGCCGCAGGAGTCACCAGGTCCCAGCTCACGGTACTGCCCATCTGGAGGGGAGTTCAGACTTGGTTCTGGGGAAGTGCCGTTCGAGGACAGCATCTGGCTCCGGTGCGAGTCAGACGAAGACGACGGAGAATTCTCCGAAGTAGAGTTGTCATTCGCGAAAGATTTGAAGCCAGAGTAGGCTGCTTTGGCGGAAGCAGCGCTGTTGGAAGTTCCGGTGGACTTCGATTTGTTCGAGTGGGCAAGGGAGTTCGATCGAGACGAAGGACTGTTCAAACTGTCGCGACCCAAGACACCAGGTGCCTGAGGGATGTTGCCATTCGGTTTGGATTGGTCGTTCTTGTTTGCTTGTCCGTTGAAGAGATGACCACCAGGCAAGTCGCCGAACTTGGGGAAATCGAATAGAAACTCATTGTTTTGGAGCCCATAGGCCCCTTTGGAATGGGCACTCGGGATAGAATTCGAGCTCATAGCCGAGATAGCGTTTCCTGATCCCGAGGCCATCCAGGAAAGGCGCTTTCGGTACTCACGAAGCTCGACCTGCAATCGCTCGACCTGGGCACGCAGCAAGCCATTCTCCTGGTTTGCCATGTCCGATGTCTTCTGCAATTTCTCCACCGAATCCTCCAGATCCTTCAAGTGCTTCTCCTTGCGTTCGCGGAAGGCTCGCTGGGCAGCCCGGTTTTGGGCCTTGCGCTTCTGCTCAATTACGTCAGTTCACGACTCTATCCCAGCAACTTCCGCGTGCAGCAAGAGTGGCATACCGTAGTAGGTTCTGAAGTCAGCGGCTTCCTACCAGGCTTCTTGGCCTCACTTTCCCTACGCTTCTTTCCGGTCTCTTCCCCTTCAATGTCCGACTTTCCGTCGAGAGACTTTCGCTTCCCGCCGATATCATAGTCAGCCGATCCCGGTAGGTCACCAATCAGATCGGCAGAACCCGGGAAATCGAAATCAACTTCCGGGGGGAAATCCAGGAAAGGGCTTTCGTCATCCCCAAACCCGAAATTGTTGGTATAGGCATTGTCAAACCCGCCCGAGGGAGGGGCGCTGAGACCGTTTGAGGAATCTCCGTCGGGGCTCTCAGAGGACTTCATTTGTGGAGAACCACTTTGAGCCTTTTGGCTGGGGTTGTTGGAAGATAGAGCGGCGAGCAAGAGATCTTGTTGGTTTGGGGAAAGGTAAAGACCTTGCTGATATCGTTCGTAATCACCCATTGTGACGGTCTACTTCCAATAGATAGAAAGGCTGACGAGAGACGAGAGAAGGAAGAGTGATGGGAATTGAATGGGTTTCAATACAGAGTCCAACCGGGCCTCCCGCCCGTGACAGATATTGATGGATGCCGTAAAACGACGAGGGGTGGAGGATGATTTTAATCCTCGCAATATAGCTTCACAGCTTGGCCGGATTTGTGACTCAACAATCTCAACAATCCGATTGTATGTTGAATCTGTATCAGTCGCAAGTAAGAACCGACAGTAGAATTCGAAATTTGGGGGAGGCGATATTGGGGGCGATATTGGATATGGAGGGGGAAAGGAAAGAAGAGATTCTAGCGGCTCACGAGAGGGGCCTGAGGCGAGGACAGATTCCCCGCTAGTCAAATTGCGGTAGAAGTGTGGCTTAGGCAAACACGAGGCTGATATGGAAAGATTGAAGGCAAATGAAATTCCAAGATGAAAGCTGCAGAATGTACGAGAAATGATGAAAGAGAGTATGACTGGAGGACTGGGGGGGGAAGGGCGATCAAGGATGGGCGGTGAGTGGTTTGGTTGATCTTATTGGCTGGTGATATCTTTGCTTTGAAATCAGTTCTTCCTTTTTTCTTCTCCACTTCGAGTAGCTTCTCTCAAGCCCTAAATGTGTTTGATCTATACATGTAGGTACAGAGTACGATATTTGATTCGACTCTGACTCTTCTGACTCATATGACTTGGCGATATAAGTACATATGTATGGAGTATCGGAAATTGCACTCTACTTAGTCCGTACCTATGTCTCCGGGCCCCACGGGTATTCCAACCCCCGGTCCGATATGCTTGAGGATCAGACCATTTAATGACGCCACCTCTCATCCCCATGGGAAAACAGGGAATTTGGATATGCATGTCCTTAGTATATAACATACTAGCTCTAAGGCAATTTAAACATTAGCATGCATATCCCCATTGATCTACAGAGAGTGGATTCGGACTTGCTTATCGCAGGTCTATGATGTATGCGATACTACAAAGCATAGTATAATGACCTATTTACATATCAGCATGCTGAATCAAACATGCTGCCTTGCGACCTAGGTATAGTACAAGCTTAATTTACCCATCACAACATTTAGCGTCTTTGACCACATACCAAGCTTACTTGGTACTATATCCACGCACGAAGTGGCGTAAGACCGTGCATATATCAAGGCGGAGAAAAAGGCGGGAATAGAATGCACGTGATGGGAGGATCAATTTGCCATTAAGATAATTATTTCTCCGCAATCCACTCACTTCCTCACCGATACGCGTCAAACTGATCAAGTTCCTAGTATCATTGTCTAACCTGCACAGTTCCCTCAGAATCTTATCATGGCTGATCTATCTTCCTTGGAGACAGATTTGACGGAATGCAAATCTCAGGTTGGTTGCCGCAAATCAAACGCTCACCACTGCGCCGTGACCCGCCACTAACCTAAAACCAACAGATTGAAACTGTCACATTAGGCTTGGAGGTAGACCCTGATAACGTGGAACTAAACAGCCTCAAAACCGAACTCGAAGAATACATTACTGTTCTCCAAACTCAGATTGCCGAACTCAAGCCAACTGCGCCCGCCAAACCAGCTCCCAAGGGTCGATTCAAGGATGATGGTTTCCAAAAGCCTTCTGAGCAGCCAGTGGAGGCACCTACTGTAGCTCCTACTCCCCTATCATTCTCGGTGAACGACACTGTTCTTGCGCGCTGGGTCTCTGGCGATCACGGTTTCTACCCGGCCAAAATTAACTCCATCACTGGCTCATCGACCAACCCAGTGTACCTTGTCACATTCAAGTCATATGCAACTGTGGAAAATTTGACAGCCAAGGATATCCGACCCATCTCTGGCACTGACTCGCGAAAGCGCAAGGCTGATGGAACCCCAGGCAGTTCGGCACCTCCCTCGCCCGCTCTCCCTCACCCCGGTGTAATCTCCGCCGCGGCAGATATCAACCCCGCACTGGCTACCCAGGCTCGCAAGGAACCCAACAAGGCCAGTGATGGGCTTCCTCGTCCCGCTAAGATGCCCCGCAAGGTCAAAGCAAACAAGGAGCTTGAAGAAGGCAAAAATAAATGGAAAGATTTCGCTGCGAAGACCAAGGGCAAGGGCAAGGGTGCGTTCGGAAAAAAGGAGAGCATGTTCCGCACCGGCGAAGGCGTCAATGCACGAGGTATGGATTTCCTATACATTATTCTTCTCGACTCTGTGGATGCTAATTGGTCTCATCTCTTAGTGGGATTTACAGGTTCTGGACAAACCATGCGCAAGGATCCGACCCGAACCCGCCACGTTTACCAACAAACGGATGATGACGGCTATTAGGTTGCATTTTTATGCCAGGCCCGCATTGTGATGATACCCCTTCTACGGATGGCTTTGGCAATTTTTTTCACATGTGACATCTCATGATATCTCTCTGGGTTCTTCTCTCTCATGTTTGTTCTCATCGCTAACTGAATCACTGGCGATGCAGACGCAGTCGTATTTGTCTCTTCAGTTCTGAGACTCGGAATTCCTGTTCATAGAAATGCGGTTCAGCTCGGAGTCGGTATTTCTATGTTTGTATTCTTTTTTTCAAGAAATGAAACCATGAGCATTTCGAAAGGGTATCCATCCATGGATATATGTACCTGTATGTACCGGATTTTAGGCCACGGTCGCGAATTTCCCGATCAGGGTGCCGCCGCTTTTATGAGGGCGCTCAGGCTCCTGCTCACTGAGTATTTCACAGCACGGGTGATCACTGTGAGCACTTAGGGTATGCTTAGTAATGTAAAAAATATTGCTCAGTGAGCGCTCAGGCTATGCTCAGTGAGCACTCAGGTTTGCTCAGCGAGCGCACAGACATGCTCTTCCTGATAGCCTGAAACTAAAGGCCTAAAAAGAACATATTAAATCACGTGATAAGTGGATCATTCATCGGCCATCTATTCTGTGATGCTAGCGCCCAGCAACTAAAAACCTTTTAACGTATTCCACAAGCGAGTGGATCATACAAGCCAGTGGATCAGCCGAAACACCATAGTAAATCTACATTTATATCTCAACAACCATATGTTTATTTTATCTCCTTGTTTGTCGATAGTAATTGATAAGCATTATTAGTAGTATGCATCAGTTTTGAATAAATCGCA